CCTGGAAGTGTTGAAGCAAAAAGTGGATCGTTATTAACATGGAATATTTTTATTCAGTTTTCTGTACTGAACAGGGATTTGGACTCTGGACCCCCAGGGACTCACTCCCACAACCTCCAATTGTATGATTCTGTGCCAAGGGCTTTAAATGTAATATATCCCATGTATTGGGGACATTGATATCTACTACAAAATATTTCCTGCTAAAGTTTTGCATATCTCCAGGACCCCACCAGTGCATAATAGCTCCTTATCCTTTGCAGTACTCCAACATTTGCTAGAAGATAAACTGGAGGACTATATTAACAGAATAACAAGAGTTGGAGGGGACCTTGAAGGTCTTCTAGTTCAACTCCCTGCTCAAGCAGGAGACTCAATACTATACCATTCCAGACAAATGGTTGTCCAATCTCTTCTTAAAAACCTTCAGTGTTGGAGCACCCACAACTTCTGAAGGCAACCCATTCCACTGATTAATTGTTCTAATTGTCAGGAAATGTCTCCTTAAAGGTTGTTCTCTCCTTTATTAGTTTTCATCCATTGTTTCATGACTTGCGTTCAGGTGCTTTGGAGAATAGGTTGATCCCCTCTTCTTTGTGGAAGCCTCTCAAATATTGGAACACTGCTGCCATGTCATCCCTACCCATTTCCTGTAACCATTCTTCTGCAGCCCCCAATCACCTTTGTTGCTCCTCTCTGCACTCTTTCTAGAGTCTCAATATCTTTTTTATATTGTGGCAATGCAAAACTAGAAGCATCTTAGAGCTTTTTCCTTGATTGATATATTTATACAGAACAGCTGTGATTGCGCAAACAGCATATCCTTTGGTGCTTGAGGCAACAAAGCCATGTCCCCAATTCCTCTTGATTTATCTCTTGTACATAGACTAGATTCATATGTGTTCTAAGGACAAAATTGGTTTTTCTAGTTTCAGTTTAATACGTTGTGAAACTTTTCCCAGCTATGCTTTGTAAATGTATGAGGGCTTAACATGACTTATAAAACCCAGGAACTGTTGTAGCTTTTCACAACGTTTTCTTCCTTGCTCCTTTTGTTAAGGCCAAAAGGTTTGATCAAAATGCAGGAATATCCTGGGTAAGCTGGTTGAAATCAAATGAGTCATGACTAATTAATTCCTCTTAGTTACAGAGTGTTTATTTTTAGCGGTGCCAAATCTGAATCTATATATTTTTGGTTTTTAAAGAGCAGGAGATGCTTCCTGGACATCAGCCATTAAGTGGAGAGAAGTAAATACTGTCAGCAGAAGCAGCCCCTGGAGAGGTTTACCCTGAAACATGCCACATGGTTGTCTTGCATCCCCTAAACTAACCTGCTATTTTTAGGTGCAGTCATCAAGACTACTGTCCTACCGTCAGCATTGGAAGTAAAATAAATCTGTTAGTCCATTTTGCTTACGTAAGTGGACCTGGATGGGTGCAGTCTTATCTGTTATCTCAGGTTGTAATATCATATTTGATTAGAATGGAAATCTTCTCTCCATTTACATATATATAAACTTTGGTCATGTTCCCTATTTTATTTTTTTGTTAACCAGCACTCTCTCCATGATACTTTAGCTGACTTCTCCCTCCCCAATTGCTTTTTCTTGATACAGATAGTCCTTAACTTAACAACCATTTGTTTAAGCAACCATTCAAAATTGCAACCACAGCGAAAAATGTTACTTACAACCAGTCCCTGCACTTATGACTGTCACTGCATCACCACAGTCATGTGATCAAAATTCAGGCAACCAATATATATGTACAATAGCTGCAGCATCCCAGGGTTATGTGAACACCATTTGTAACTTTCTCAACTGGCTTCTGACAAACAGTCAAGAGGGGAAGCCAGATTCACTTAACAGTTGTAGTGATTTGCTTAACAGTGGTAAAAAGGTCATAAAATCGGGTGTGACTCACTTAACATTAACATGTGTATTAAGACAGTAACATTAAGGAACCTTAATTCATTGCACCCCAGGTAAAGTCTTTTTATTTTTTTTCAAAGCTAGTATGCTGAAATACAAATGGGGAATGGGTTTTAATATGCATTTGTTTCTTATCAATTCGTATTGATGTTCATTGCATGCAATTGGTTAGTAAGTATATTTAGGATGGGGAATATGGAATGTATTGATATAAGAATTAGAAGGATCTAATCAATCTCTTTAGAGGGAATGTGAAACAAAGGACCGGTCAATATTTTAGCAGAAAATAAACTTGATTGTGAGGGGAAAAGTACAAGAAATTGAGATCTGCATCATGATTCTCCCCAAGTTTTTGCCCATCCATAGTTCCTAGGCTGTGATGACTAGTAATTCTTACTTGAACTCCTGGATTTCAAGAGTAACAGTTCAGAAAGTTTCTAAAAATTGTGACATCCATGGCCAATAATAAAATCTGCTGATGTGCTTTCATACTTTTCCAACCTGATGCCTTCTGGCTGGGAATATTTGAAATTGTAATCTATGTACATGTGTAGTGATTAAGGTTGGGTATTACAGGAATCTATGACTTGCAGTCATGTTTTTAGAGTATATCAGTGCCATGAATTGTATAGTGCTGTGATGGCAAACCTATGGTGGGCATGTAATCTGTCAGCCAGCTCAGCTCCACTGCGCATGTGCGTGCGCCTCCTGCCGGCCAACTGATTTTCAGGTCTCTGCCACGCATGCGGGAGATGCACATGCATGTGGGGGGGTCGTGCAGCATGCGCGGGGCAGGGATTGCAAAGAGGGCACTCCTTGCACTCTGTTGTTTATCCCAGGAGTCTTCATGCATCTTGCTTTGGATCCCAGGTAAGTGCAGGGCCCGTGCGTGGGCTCTAGGAGGGCGAAAAACAGGCCTCCCAGAAGTCCGGAGACAGGCCCATTTCCAGCCTCCGGAGCCCGTGGGAAGCTGTTTTTACCTTTCCAGAGGCTCAAGGAAAGCCTGAGAAGAGCGAAAAAATCCCCCACACACTGTGGTTTAGGAGACCAAGCAGACCAAGCCCACCATGGCCACCCCACCCAGCAACAGGGCAGAGATCGGTTGCTAAAATTTTACGTAGGGGTGTGTGTGTCATGCGTGCATGCGTAAGGATGCTGACTGCAGTGCATTATGGGTGTGGGCACTTATGTGCGCACGATTTCAACACATGAGGACAAAAAGGTTAGCCATCACTGGTAAAGTGTGTTGGAAGAAATGTCCTTCTGGGTTCGGCTCCAAGTGGGGAAAAAGACACTGGTGACATGGAGGCTGCTTGGAAAGATGGTTTTAATGGTGGACAGGACCACATGGCTTGAGTCCTGAACAGGAAAGGTGATTACATGCTTGAATGTTGGGGGAGAAGAAGAGAAGGGCTGAGGAAGGGGCTTGCTAGGCTTTTTATACCCTGTTCAGTCCCACCTGTCTGTTTCCTGTTCCTGTGTAAGAAATGTATTCTGATTGGTTGTCAGACTCCCATGGGGCCATGCAGAGGCAACTCTCTAGGCTGTGTTTTGAATCCAGGTATGGTTGAGTTCTCAGATGCCTTGTGGCGTGTTGGGTTAGGCCTTAATCCCTTCACTCTGGAGCTGAAGGAGAGAACTCTCTTTATTATTTAAAGTGGACTAACTCAGGCTTTAATGATTCATTGACAAGAGAAGGCTGAGGGAGGGGCTTGCTAGGCTTTTTATAACCTGTTCAGTCCCACCTGTCTGTTTCCTGTTCCTGTGTAAGAAATGTATTCTGATTGGTTGTCAGACTCCCATGGGGCCATGCAGAGGCAACTCTCTAGGCTGTGTTTTGAATCCAGGTATGGTTGAGTTCTCAGATGCCTTGTGGTGAGTTGGGTAAAGTTCCTTAATCCCATCCCCCTGCAGCTGAAGTGGGAGAAACCTTTATTATGTAAAGTGGACTAGCTTAGCCTTCTTAATGGCCCATTGACAAAGTGGGGATGGGCAGGAAGCTACAGGCAGCTATTCTGCCTTTTAAAACATATGTGTCTTTTCACATCCAGAGAAATATTCTGCCTTTTCAATATTTCCTAGGATATTTCATTTTTCTGGGAGAGGGCTGGGTGATAACTTCCTACACTTCAAAAGCCCAAGGTGATGTATAAAACATTTAAAGCACAACTTTCCATACTGAAAGTGTGAACAGTCCTGAGGTAGGCTAATCCATCACCTTAACCACTAGACAGTGACTCAAGAGATATCTCTGTGAAAATAATGAAGCTTCGTGAATCTTTAACTGATAATTTGAATTTAGAAATTTCTAGCTTTAAAGTTGTTAATATTTAGTTCTATTAAACTTTTGGGGGTAGGAATGTAAAGGTATTTTAATTATGCTCAATTTTTACACTTTCACACCAACACACACCTCTTTTAAAAGCCTCAGGCAGCTGACATTTTCAAAATGTAAAACCAACAAATTAATTTTGGCGCATGTCCAGGAACGCAGAGGATTTGTTTGCACGCTTTCCCCAAAGCGTTATTTACAAAGATTTAGAGAAGCCAGGACGAACATTATTGGTTAGCGACTACAAACCCCAAAGGGCATTGCGGCGTGAGAGAACTCATGCGAGGCGAGGCCAGTCGCAGAGAGGCTTTTCGCAGAGGTGTCCCTTTGGTGGGGAAACTGCTGAACTACAAGTCCCAGATGACTACGCGCTTGCCGGACTGGCTCCAGCTCTTTGAGGAGGCTGGTTCCTACTTTAAATCCAGGCAGAGATCAAAATGGCGGCCGCGAGCTGAGTGTGAGGTGGGGAAAGGCAAGAGAGACGCGGAGCAGAAGACGCGCTCGGCGGCTTTTCCCGGGGGCGGTGAGTGCATTCTCACATGCAAGGGGCGGAGAGGAAGTAGCGGTCTCCAGCGAGGAATGCCTGCTTCTTCTTAGGAAAAGAGTTTGCAAGGGGCAGCCCTAGTTCCTTACGTGTCCCCTCTTCCACAGGGGGGCGTCCTCGGGCTTGAGGGGGGGGGATCGGGGTTTAAAGTGGGGCTTGGGGATGAGGAGAAAGTGTGTGTGTATGGGGGGTAAGCTGCCTTGTCCCCGGGAGATTGTGCCGGCGAAGGGCTCTGCACCTTCCCGGACGGCTCCGCGGGGCGTGTAAGATGCCCGCAGAAGGGGCGAAGAAAGGAAGGGTTTCCTTGCAGTCAGAAACGGCTGGAGTAGAGAATTTGGCGCTCTCCCGTCGCGGATCCGAAGACTTCGGGGTGGGTGTTTCACCGACGTCGGGAGCGGTGAGAGAGAAACCCTCCAGCCTCTTTTTGGTGCCTGTTTCTGGAGAGACGGGGCGAACGCGGGAGATGTAGGGCGGGGAGCGGGCTCCCTCGCTACCGGGGAAGTTGCAGGGCGAGGGTGACTCCGAAGGAAACTCGAGAGTCGCTTTCCAGCCTCCTCGCCTTGTTGAGTTTGGAGCGTCTCCCAAGAAAGTCCCCCGAGGACTCCGGGCGTGAGGATGCCCGGGGTCTCGGTCGGCTGGCTTGTCTTTCAGCCGTAGCGAGCAAGCGAGCATGCAAACAAGCGCTGGACTTGGAAGAGCGGGGTGGTTGGATCGGCGGCTTCCGCTTTCCTGCTTGTAAACGGGGGTAACAAACCACTGCGAAGCCAAAGGGGACGCGAGGGCGGGGGGGGGGCGACAGCCTCGGGGTATGGGGAGCATTTTATACCCAGATGCATTTATTTCTAACTATTTCTGGTTACTTATTATTAAAACTTTGAAGTTTTCCCTTGCTTCTGTGCAAGGTGCTGGTTGGCTGCCTTTCAAGTGTGTCTTGGCTTTGCCAAGTTTCTCAAGGGGGGAAAACATGTTTTCATTCTGGTTTGTAGTGTGGCTAGCCAGGTTTTTATTTTTATTTTGTTAAAAGTGATTTTTTTAAAAAAAGATAGCTTATGGTTGTAATATATGAAAATGAATGAAAAATATTTAAAACGTATACATGACATAGGTATATAGCAAAAATTAATGTTATCTTATCATGGCTGTTTAACAGTCTTAAACTGATATTGTCAACAACAATAAAAATAGGTATGTCTGGTCTTTGGTATATGAGATACTACCTCAGGTTCACTTTCTATGATACAGATAGTCTCTCTGGCTTGGTTAGTGAAATGAAAAAGATGTTTGTAATGGATGTAGATATTGAAAAGCATATATTCACAAATATTTGATAATAGGACATGAGGAGCAGAATACTTAATTCATTTGCCTGATCTGTCATCATAAGAACATTCTACATTGTAACATTTTATATAACCCCTAATTATATCATGTTACATTGACTGTAATATTTATACACAAATTTATTTTTATAAAATATAATCTGTTAGTAAGCCAACAAGAGTGTTGACAGATCAACACCATGGTTTCTACAGAATCACTAGAAGAAAATTTCAACAGTCACTGGAAGAAGCTTTTCATATTTGCTATTTCTAGCCTGATACAATCTGCACAATATCTTATTTCATTTAAATATTGATACATTGAGCATATTGTATCAATATTGTGTACATATATTGTATGTTTCTAACTTGGAACTTATTGTATATTAATTTGCTTATCAGTTATACACAAGATAGCTAAAGAAGAAAGCTCTGATCACAATAGAATCAAAAGGAGTGCTATTCCTTTACTGTACAAAGCTTAACAATGTACATTGTATATATTAAAATATTCAGCAAACAAAAGCCTGACTTCTTATATACTGCATATTGGAGAAATCATAAAAATACACTTGATAAACACTTGAGGAAAGAATATATTATATGTAAGATGAACCCCGTTACTATGTCTCAAATGATACTGGATACTAGTCTGACATTAGAGGTTGCTTCAGGTCTTGCATATAAATGAGCAATATGAGCAGTAATCGAAGATCTTATTTTTGCATTGTCTTACAGCGCTGCTTAAGTCATGCTGTTATTCTGAATACAAGAAGAGAACATTACCTTTAGTATCTGAATTATTAGTGTGTGCAGCAATTACAATTTGAAGATAGAATATTGTAATGTTGTATTTTTTAGTATTTGCTTAAAATTGGCAATAATCGGAATATTTCAAGTTATGGTATTATGCTTAGAATAATTTTAGTAAAGGTAAAATGGGTTGTGCAAAGAGTATATTTTAAACATTGTGACGAACCAATGTGAAAACCGTTAATTTTAATCAGAATTACTAGCACTACTCTCCCCCAAATTATTGTAACATAGCTATTCCATTAATATGGCGTAAATAAAATTATTTAGAAAAACATATACAACATAACTTGAAATAAATCTGCAGATAAGTCTACAAACTTAGAATATTTTTTGGGGAAAAATGGCTAATAGTTTTTACAGTGGCTCATTTCTTAATTTTTCTTTTACATACAATCAAGATGACACTCTTAAGGATATTTGATAAGAAACTACAGTTTAAGGTATTGAAATAGCATGGTAGGAGCAAGCAGATTGGATAAGGACAGTTCTTGACCAGGAGCTGAGTAAAAACCTCTCATTCAAGAAACTTTATGTTGGCTAATAATGTCACCACCCCTTTTAAATCAATGCTCAGCAGGGAAACCTGCTATGCTTCAAATCCATTTTAAAGGGAATTTTCCTCTTCACAAGAAATTCAAGATCCCTCAGTAAGCTGCCACAAATTTAACAAGCAATTGGTTTCCTTTTAGATGTAAAAAGTATTAATATAGTTGTTCTGAAAAATAAATCGAATGATTTATTGACCATAGCAACCATTGAATGCCTTGTAGAGGTTGATAATTCTGACTCCCGTTCTCATCAGTAGTGTAAGTTGGCCATTCATAGTTGTTAGCTGTGTGTTCAACACAGTTCACATTTGAGCTACAAATATTCTCTTCCATCGATATTTGTAGCTTTATTTAATCATACTGCCTCTGAAGACCATTCAGAAGTTTCAATAGTTTTAGCATATTAGTTTCACCAATATAGCACTACTGCTGTAGGAGTTACAGTGGCTTCCAGTCAGCTTCTGGATGCCAATCAAGGTAATGGTTATCACCTCTAAAACCCATAAAAAGAATGCCTTCTCTTTCTGCCTGAGGAGATCTCATTGAGGGAATTTGCTGAAGTCCCAGATATGAGGGAATGCCATCTACAGGAACTCCATGTTTAAATGAATTATAGACCAGTCTCCAGTGAGTGATTGGGCTTCAACTACCGAGTGCTTTGAATGAGATGGATTATCTAGGTCCTTTCAAGTTGAGTTTCAGGTCTGGGTACAAGATGAAAATCAGTTCTATGTAAAAATTAAAGCTCTATTCAATCCTACTCCCACCAGTAAAATATTTGGTTTCATGTAGGCCAGTGGTGTCAAACTCGATTTTATGGAAGTCCGGATCAGGGTTGTGTTTGACCTTGGGGGGTCGGGATGAGCATAGTCAGGGTGGGTGTGGCCAGCTCGATGTCACTCATGTCGGGTCCCTGTGGTGGCCCGAGTTCTCTGCCAGTGAAAATGGGCTCCCAAGCTCCCATTTCAGCTGCAACAGCCTCTTGCAACTCTCTGCCAGTGAAAACGGAGCTCAGGAAGGCTCATGCAGGCCAGTCCTTCACTGTTTCCAGGGCAGCTCTGTGGGCCACATCTAAGCAACGCTGCAGCATAATCTGGCCCCTGGGCCTTGAGTTTGACATCCCTGGTGTAGACAATCACAGATTCATCTTAAAGTAGGAAAGCCATTGAATTTGAGGGTAAGGAATTCAGGACTCTGAATTAACAACTGGCAATCTTTCTCTGTGTAGGGGCTAGAGGCTATGCAGCCATCACCATTTTGGGCTCACATGCCAAAGTGGCTGGTGAAGCCATTGACAAAATGGCTATATGAGGAAGTGGCAAGTAATCTTCCCTCTTGTGGGCCTGGATGAATATTGTTGTTTTGGGAAAAATGGGCTGGATGATTTTGGATGGACAGTCCATGGTTGTAGAGATTGCTGTCTCCTGTTTTAAGAGATGATAGAAATGCTGATACATGTAAAGAGTTCCAATTCATTTATCAGATGTTCTTAGTTTTCATTCAGTGAAGTCTTAAACAGAGCTTTTTAGTTAAAAATAATGTTCATACTAGATAGTATACTTAGGCAGCATTTGCATTTTTTTCTCTTATTAACTTTTCTTCATAATGTATTTATTTTTCATCACATGTATGTATGTGTGTGTGTTTGTGTGTATATGTATGTATGTATGTGTATATGTATGTGTGTGTGTGTGTATGTATGTATGTGTTTATATATATATATATCTCCCTTTATCAGCATAAATATAACAAATTATATATATATATATCTATATATATATATATATATATATATATATATATATATATATATATATAT